TTACAGTGTGTTTATTTTTTTTATTTTGTTAAAAGATTTTATTTACATACTTGTGAGAGAGTGCACACGCAAGTGCATGCGTTCGAGAGAGAGAGAGAGCGCAAGCGCACGAGGTGGGGGGGGCAGAGAGAGAGGGAGAAACAGACTCCCCCCCCCCCGCCCAGCAGGGAGCCAGATGCGATATGGGGCTGGATCCCAGGGCCCCGAGGTCATGACCTGAGCCAAAGGCAAACACTTAACCAACTGACCCACCCAGGCGCCCCTACAGTGTCTTTAATCTCATGGAAAAGTAGGTATGAATTCCCTATCACACAAGAGCCTTTGAGACAGCAACTAGATTATTTTGCATGCACACAAGCAATAAAGGCTTAGCATGAGACTATTTCAGAGTAAAATTAATATTTGCTATTGAAAATAACACAAGGGGCGCCTGGGTGGCTCAGCTGGTTAAGCGACTGCCTTCGGCTCAGGTCATGATCCTGGAGTCCCTGGATCGAGTCCCGCGTCGGGCTCCCTGCTCGGCAGGGGGTCTGCTTCTCCCTCTGACGCTCCCCCCTCTCATGTGCTCTCTCTCTTTCTCTCTCTCAAATAAATAAATAAAATCTTAAAAAAAAAAAGAAAATAACTCAAATACGGTCAAAAGAAAAAAGAGACACAGTGAAATTAATTATCCCTCTCCAAACATCCATCCCACCTTGATCCTCTCAGGTTTATTAACAAATACAGTTGACCATTGAATAACATGGGTTTAAACAGCGTGGGTCTACTTATACAAAGATTTTTTTTCTTTTTTGTAAATATCGTGTAGTACTATAAACATGTTTTCTCTTCATTACACATTCCTTAATATTTTTTTTCCACCTTACTTTATTATAAAAATACTGTATAGAATACAGACAACATAAAAAGAAGGGGATGATTAACAGTTAATGTTCTAGGTAAGGTTTCAACAATATGGTATTTCCATGGTAAAGTAGGAATGGTTTTAAGTTTTGGGGACTCAAAAATTACACACAGATTTTCAGTTCTGGAGGGGGTTGGTGCCCCTCATGTCTGCCCTGTCCAAGGCTAAACTGTGATTGATCTAGGTCATTTAAATTTGGATTTTTCTCTAAAATGGCACTGACTTATTAACAACTTATTGTTAATTCTCTGATTTTATTTAGATATGTCTTTCTATTGCACATACTTAGCCAATTGTTTACATCTTTAATATTTTTATCCTTTATAAAGACTCTTTCTTTCCATACTGTATATTAAAAACAAAGGTCATTCATCAGCCATTACATGAAGGTTTCTATCTAGTATGCTTTATCTGATATTGAGTAAGGGTTCAGTTCCAGGTAAAGACATTACCACTATTCTTGACAATTTTAAGGTATCACCTCAGGATGTATTATCTCCTGTTGAATACTTTTGATTATGAATGAAATGCTTCACCACATTCCTTATATTTGTAGGGTTTCATACATCATGCACTCTCTGATATTCAGCAAGTTTGTAGTTCTGCTTAAAGACTTTGCCTTTTTTTTTTTTTTTTTTTTACATTGTCGGCCTTCTCCCCACTGTATTTTCCCTTATATTGATAAGTTTTGAGTGGCAGTTAAGGTCTTTACCACACTGTTTACATTTGTAATACTCCTTCCCATTATGAAATGTCTGCTATTGAGTCTTGAAGACTAGTTAAAAGGTTTGCCACACTTACTACCTTTTTAGTCTTCACTTCAGTAAAGATACAGTAATATACGATAAGATTTGAGCTTCCATAAAAGACTTTCCCACATTTATTATTTTTTTTTTTTAAAGATTTTTATTTATTTCTTTGACAGAGAGAGAGAGGGAACACAAGCAGGGGGAACAGCAGAGGGAGAGGGAGAAGCAGGCTTCCCGCAGAGCAGGGAGCCCGATGTGGGACTCGATCCCAGGACCCTGGGATCATGACCTGAGCCGAAGGCAGACACCTAACGACTGAGCCACCCAGGCGCCCCACATTTAGAATTTTTATCTTTATTTTTAAATGTCTAACATTCAGAAAAGCATCAGTGAATGACTAAACGAATCTTATATTTGAAATGGTTTGAATGAAACTTTCAGCACAGACTAGGTGACTTTCCAGAATTTTCGTATTCCAGAGAATATGTATGTTGAAAAAATGCATTATATTCCCTGGGTTCAAAGACATTGTTCTGCAAATATAACAGACTTACAGTGGGATTTTCCCTGAATGTGTTCTATGCCTCATCTCTTCTGGCGGGAAGGATTTCATTATGGTAACTGTCCCACTTGGGTTATATCCATCATAACATCCTTCCTGGCTGCCCTTCACTACCCTCTGTCACCCTCCCAGTCATTTATTAAGTATAAATACTCAGGGCCACTGCTTCAACATCTTAAATCACTCTAAAAAGCGAATCTTCTTTCCCTGTCTTTGCCAACAGGCCTTTGGGTGTTATGGAAAGACACGACTAAAAGATACAAAATAAGTCATCACACTCACTATACTCACATGCATATATATTAAAATGCTAATGTGCAAACTTAATACTAATCATTGCTCATCAGCAGAATGGAGAAATACGAAGCATCAGGACTTTGCTCCTCCATGGGGACAAAAATGGACCAAATTACCTTTTAGGGTGCTCCAGAAGCCAGTTAGAACACAGCAACCCCAGACAAGTACAAAGGTAGAAGAGGCTCATCGAAGAGACAAGAGAAGTTTGGGACACTTGTCCCTCCCTGACACTCCACAGCAACAGCGTGAGAAAACTCTTCCCTCTCCTCAGAGAGGATCAAGTGAGTGACCTGTATGCTCAATGATCTGGCTGTGCGGATGCTGCCTGAGGAAATTGTTTCTGTCATGTATGCCACAGAGGAAGAAGGAATGAGAGCACCCTTTGGACGCATTATGGTGGCGGCTCAGACAAAAGGGGCGCATTTGTTCAAACACTGGAGAGACTAAAGAGTTGATTGATACTTGAGTTAAATTCACACTGTCCTGAAATCTACTGAGGTGAAAATTGTCATCCTATAATAAAATACACAGGTAACTAAATAATGTTGTGAAAGGTCCCATAGAAAAGGAAGCACATTATTATGGAATTATAAAACCAGAGTAAGACAAAATTTAACCCAAAGAATTCCACATACAAATAGATGAATTTTGGGGTGCCTGGGTGGGTCAGGCTGTTAAGCGTTTAACTTCAGCTCAGCTCATGATCTCGGGGTCCTGGGATGGAGCCCAGTGTGGGATCCCTGCTCAGTGGGAAGTATGCTTGTCTCACTCCCTCTGCCCCACTCCCCCCACCCACTTCTGCGTGCTTTCTCCCTAACAGATAAATAAAATAAAATCTTTAGGGAAAAAAATGAATTTTTAAAAGGAAACCTTTTATAGAACTGTAACTTTAAATTGAGACTGTGTACTCATGAAAACTAAGCATTCTGAATTATAGGCATGCCTTTATTGACAGTAAAATAGGAAAGAATATATATTAAAATCTACCATGAGAAGTTCTAATGGAAAATCTTATGCATAAGCACTTAAAAGACATTGGAAAATGTATTATTATTAATATATCCTTCCTGTACACAGACTAGAAGGCCACCTTTAGAACCAAGCACCGTGGGGCACCTGCATGGCTCAGTTGGTTTAGCATCTGACTCTTGATTTTGGCTCAGGTCATGATCTCAGGGTTGTGGAATAGAGTCCCTCAGGGGTGTCCACACTCATCAGGTAGTCTGCTTGGGATTCTCTCCCTTTCCTTCTACCTCTCCCTCTGCCCCTCACCCCAATAGAGCGCATGCACTCTCTCTCTCTGCCTCATAAATATATCTTTTAAAAAAAGAGAAAAATAAGAATCAAGCACCCAAAAAAACCCCTTCATTTTGAAATAAAGAAATACCGTCACAATTTTAAAATATGGCAGCAATCACTTTGTAAAAAATAAGTATGTGGGGTTAAATTCAGATACATTCTGAGGAAAGTAGAAGAAAAGCCTAATGGTTAATTTTTCCAGATGTAAAATTAAATTTATAAGCGAAACTTTTTTTTTAATATGGGAATTTTACTAATTATCCACCTTACTTTCTATAAGCAAATGCCCATGTCATAACTCCACTTTTGATATAAAAAAATCAAAGATGAATATCATGTATAACTAATAAGAAAGTAAGATCACACATGGCAAAGTCACAGCAAATTCATACCATGCAAAATTATAAAATGATTCAATTATTAATAAAGTAACAACTGAAACTTTATTACAGACTGAAAATTCTGAGTTCTAAATATTCTAGCTCCCCTATGGCATTATTTAGGTAGGAATTCCAGGAAACAGATACATTTAATTATTTCACCACTGAGGAATGGGACACATAGAGTGAAAATTTCTAATATTATTTAATACAAAGAAAAATGAAATTTAAGTGAAATAAAGGATTAGATTTTTTCATTCTAGGGAGGTATTTTGTTATCTGATGAAATTACTGATTCTCAATTTTGTACAACTAAGATTAAAGCCACCATAACATAGGAAAGCATAAACCAGAAAACATATGATTCCTGTCTCCAGTGTTCCCAGGATTTCTGCACCAAACCACAATGTGCTTACAACCACCCTGACACACTTCTCCCATGATGAAAAACAGAACTTACAAAGGGCTTAGCATAGAGTTCCTCAGAAATAGGATGATTTTCCCAGAGCCCTCATAGCAATGGAGAAGCCCTCAGACAATGGAGGCCCTCCCACTCCCAGGAGAGTCCCCTGGCCCTCCCTGTGGATGTGATGGACCATCACTGGAGCTGACGGAGAATCCTTAGAAAATTTAAGAGCTTGATAATGTTGGATAGCAGATGTCCCTCTGTGAGAGGGGGGGAAATTCAACTATGCTTCCAAAACGAATTTCCATTCAAGGAGAGCTACTTGAACCTCACTTTAAGGTCTGTCTTCCTCCTTCACATTTGGGCCTCACCTCTGTCATCTGCCTCATTCATTCCCACCTACCTGGATGGATGGCTACTGTTTCCTTTCTCTTCACATCCCAGAGCTGCTTCTCTTGCTCCAAAAAGATGACCAGGTCTGGCTTCCACACAATAAGACCTGTTTATTAGAAAAAATGAATAGGAGTACTGCTGGAGATTCTTTCAATCCACTAGAGGACACTGTAGAATTCTAGAAAATGATTTTCCAAACACTGTTGACCAACAGCCCCATTAAACAGGCAGGAGAAGTTTCAAATTTTCACATCATGACCTCCACTTTCAAGTACTTCCAATACAAAAATAAGGACTTAAAATTTCAGTTTACGATGTGGGCAGTACCATTTTTTGCCACTCACTGTTTACAACTGGCACTCATCTACAGAAGTGATGATGTTCTCTTAAGGAACGGGAAGCTAAACCATGAAGATTTTTCTCTACATCTACAAACCCCTACTTATTTCTCTTACTGCCTGGATCTGAATTCCCAACGTTCAAAGAGGAATCTTCTAATACACAGTCTTCAAAGGAAGGAACAAAACCCTGAGTGTGGTTTGGGAAATCTGGAAGGAGTTATTCTCACCCAGGAAGAGGAGGTGTCCGTAGTTCTCTAACATCACATCCCTGTACAATTCCCGCTGAGTGTGGTTCAGGCATCCCCACTCCTCCTGGGAGAATTCTATGGCCACATCCCTGAATGTCAGCAGTCCCTGCAATAAATACCACAGTTACCAAGTGGCCACTGGCAGAGTTCACAATGGTTCCTAAGATGAAAGAGGGAGTTAATGTCACCAGCTAGACCCAAGACCTGACCTTCCCCAGTTACCTGATTATACCCTCCGATCTTTGTCCCACATTTTACTTAACCTCTTTTTCCACCTTATCTTTTACTCCAGGCAAAGACCCCATGGTCTAGTCTCCTGTCAAGGAACGAAAACTATCCAAATAAAGGTAATGACGGCCCAAAGGATGAAATTGGGCTGGCACAGTTTGAGCTTAACCCCTGACTCACACCTGTGTAGATGGACCAAAGAGTAACCCATGGTACTTTTACCTCATTATAATATGAAAATCTCCATCCTAGGAGAAGCGCAAACCTCACTTACATAACATACCATGTATGTATGGAAGTGTTGTCTTCAGGTACCTGTTTGACCTCATGCCCAGCTCTATACAAGATGATTTAGCCCCTCTTTCTAAATTTCCATTTGAACCCTAAATAAAAGGAAACCATTCTCCCTGGCTCTGGGAGTCTCTGCTTTGGAAGTTATTCCCCGTGATCTCCTTACTGGCTGCAAATCAAGTTTCCTTTGCATCACAAGCCTACCTGATATAATTTCTATCTGTGACTCTATTATATTTCAGGATTTTAAGACACTCAAACATGTTAAGTGGTTCTTGTTTTTTTTTTTTAAGATTTTATTTATTTATTTGAGAGAGAGCACATGAGAGGGGGGAGGGTCAGAGGGAGAAGCAGACTCCCTGCCGAGCAGGGAGCCCGATGCGGGACTCGATCCAGGGACTCCAGGATCATGACCTGAGCCGAAGGCAGTCGCTTAACCAAGTGAGCCACCCAGGCGCCCTGTTTTTGTTTTTTTCTGAAAATACAAAGAGGTAAATAAAACAGTAACTCTGTGACCTAAGTGTGGAGTAAAATAAAAACCTACAAGATGGAGGTCTGACTTAGAACCTCCAGTCCTAGAAATCATTATCTCTGCTACACAAAGGTGACAGTCTTCATTGTCCAGTGGAAACTGATGTGAAGGGGCCTGCGAGCTAAAGGGTCAAGAAAGAACTCTTGGGACATTTTCAGTGCAAAAACTGTTTTTATTAAAGCACAGGGACAGGACCCCTGGGCAGAAAGACCTTCACTGTCCTAGTGAGAAGCCATTGATAAAATAGTTTTAAGTTGGCGGGCAAAAATAAAGGAAGTTTCTGCAGGGATTTTCATATGTTAAAGAGGACTTACAGGATCCTGGAGGTCTGGCTATTGTCAAGCTGGCTGCTTTTTGTCTCTAGAGAAGCATTAACATTAAGGCAGTTGTGAATTCCTGATGGAATGTCATACTCTGCCAGTCTCAAGTATTTATCTAGGGTCTGGAAGTTGAATTTCAGTTTATCTACATTTCTTTTACCTTTGTTCTCCTCAACAGAAACTAGAAGAGAAATTCAGAAGAAAGAAGTTTCCACTTTAAATGTGATGGTTTCTGCATATCACTCAGTAAATCCATCTAAGATACTTATGAATATATTTTTAAAAGATTTTATTTATTTATTTGACAGAGAGAGACATAGCGAGAGCAGGAACACAAGCAGGCGGAGTGGGAGAGGGAGAAGCAGGCTTCCCGCTGAGCAGGGAGCCAGATGCGGGGCTCGACGCAGGACCCTGGGATCATGACTGAAGCCGAAGGCAGACGCTTAACGACTGAGCCACCCAGGCGCCCCAACACTTATGAATACTAAGGGGGAAAATATGAACTTTATAAGGGAGAAATCTGTCAGAGTGCACCAACCCAAGTAAAAGAAGGTAATATGAGGGTACCTGGGTGGTTCAGTTAGTTAAGCATCTGTCTTCCACTCAGGACACGATCCCAGGCTCCTGGGATCAAGCCCCGAATCCAGCTCCCTGCTCAGCGGGGAGCCTGCTTCTCCCTCTACCCCTCCTCCCTGTTCGTGCTCTCTTGTCTCTCACTCTCTCTCTCAAATAAATAAATAAAATCTTAAAAAAAAGAAGGTAACATGAGCTCTAAGGAAACAAACTGATACCAGTGCTTAAAGCACACCAAAGGACCTATTGTTACTGGTATGTTCTTGTGGTCATCAAACATTAAATCAGAATATAAATTGAATTATGAGAAAACAGTGCATTTATACAAAGTTCAATCACACATAAGTTTCCAAGTCCTGTAATATCTATTATATTTTAAGCATTTTTTTCACAATTAGTTTCCAAGTCCTGTAATATCTATTATATTTTAAGCATTTTTTTTTCAATCTAAAGAACATGAATCCACCCCCCTTCCCCTCCACCTCACCTCTTTTCCCCCCCAAGAACTTTCCCAGTTATTCTGAGCCTCATATCCATCATGTTTATTTATGCATTTTCTGACTCCTGGTCTACAGAAAGCTGAAAAAGCATCCAGATGGGACCTAGATAAGAACTGCTTTCCTTGACTGATATCCCAGGACCGGACCCCATCAGCAACAGGAATCTTGAACTCAAAGACTTCCCCTGTGAATCAGTCACAAAGGGAATATTTTCAATACTTGCAGGACTTTAATTCCAAGTGACAATTGTTGATGGACTATTGGAAGCCAGGTTGGAGAGAAGGGAGAGAAGGCTCTGGGATATAGGGAAGAATTGTTCCAAAGATTTACCCTTCAGTATCACTTTTGAAAAGGTTTTAAAAATTAGGTGAAAACATAAAGCGGAATTATCAGAAATAGAGGAATCAACATTTGCAATTTCTAAATGCAAGGAATTTCAAGAGAAAAAGATGACAAGGCCTCTGACCTCAGATGCAAGGCTTACCTGAGAACTGGCCATTTCTTCTTCTTTCACCTTGTCCTCTAGATTTCTTTGTCAGAAGAGATTCATGGAGAAATCACAGCTGCATCAGGAGAAAATGCCTTTAAAGCCACCAACAGAGCCTCTGCACCTCTAAACTGCTCGGCCTGAAGGCAGGACTTTGAAATGCAGAAAAGGCCCAACATCCTAGTCCTTTGTGTCAGGAGCCTTTCAGAAACCACGAGCTCCTACTTGAAGACCAATCCCTGACTTTTCCTTCTCTGCTTCCAGGGGGCCTCCCCTCCCACAGATGCCCACAAATTCAGCTACAGCCTAGGAACCCTCTGCTCCAAGGACCTGACCCTCCCAGACTCATGTAGCAGAGACCCTGTTTCCTCTTCTTGAGCCAAACCCTGCTCTCAATTCGCATAAAATAACGGAAAGCCCTCGTGCTTAACCCTGGCCTCACTGAGAATCACCTCGAGCCCTTAATTAACACAACACCGTTGTTTTCACCAGTTGACAGAATCTGAGGGGGAGGGCACCAGCAAGGATCATTTTGGGAACTTCACGCTGTTATCCTATTGGGAAGCATTTGGGGAGGTGACCAGGCAAAGCACAGTATCCAAGGCTGTGGTTGCTAACCAGATTTAAATCGATGCTTTTTCCAATGATCGGAGTTTCTGGAGATTTATACATTCTCCCTCTTTCTGCTACACAGAGGGAAGCACCCTTACAAATGGAGCTTTCCCTTATAAATGCAAGTATCTCTTACAAAAGTAAACATACTGGGTTTCAGGGCTTTTCCTTTGTCTGCCATTTCTTTAAAATAACAAGTGGAGGGGCGCAGGGGCGGCTCAGTAGGCTGAGCATGTGACTCCTGAATTCACCTCAGGTCGTGATCTCAGTGTCATGAGGTCAGCATTCACTGAGCAAGGAGCCTGCTTAAGATTCTGTCACTGTGCCCCCCCTTCCCCCCTCCCCGCTTGCGTGCGCATGCTCACTCACGCTCTCTCTACCTCAACCCCCCCCCCCCCACACACACACCAGCCGGCCTAAAATAACCCTTAAACAAAGAGACATATTTTGTGCTAAGAGCATGCTGCCCTTCGGTAGGTAAATGTTTGTTTTCGTAAGTAACTGCAAAACAGTTTTCCAAAATGAATGTACTTTTTACTTTCCCATCAGCAATATAGGAGTATTCTAATTCCTCAAAATTTTCACTAAAATTGTGTTATTCTTCTTATTTTTGGAATTCTAGAAAATAATGAGTGGTTTCAGACTTAAAATTGGAAGCGGTCTTACTTCAGTTGCCCTGGTGACTCAAACTGAAACCACTTGAGAGCAGAAGTTGAACAAAAATCAAATGGCTGCATTAAAACAGTAGTGAGGCTTGATGGGATAAAGTATGCTTTTCCCTCTCTTCCCCAAACTCCCCCCTCCCCGCTTCTTAGCCTTTGTTTCCTGTTTTCAGGAATCCAGGACCACTCTGAAAGCCTGAACAAGGCTGGGAACACAGACACAATTCCTGTTCAAACAGGCGAGATCCTGTATATCCCTACAAAACCCTCAGCCCCTGATACCGGGTGAGCTTGTTGTTCTGAAGGCCTCAACTTCCACCAGCCTCCTCTGTCCAGCAAAACTATAAAGCTACTGTTCTCCTTGACCCCCCAACTCTGTCTTCAAGTTTTGCTCTGAAGCACAGAAGTCAGTTTTCAACAACAGAAGGAATGTTAGGAGAGGAATCCATTTTTCTTCATCTGTTCTCAATTCTCTGGCCGGTCTAATAATTAAACTGATATAAGACAGATTCACAAGAGAAAAAAAATAATTTCTTAATTATGGGAACCTCGAAGATATGAGGCTCAACCACAGGAAATTGATGCTTACATGCCACTGTGACTTAAGAAGAGCATAAGGATTTAGAATTTCAAAAGGGGGTAAGCATATTCACAGGAAAAAGGAAAGAGCAAATTTTGTCAAACAATAGTTTGCAACACCAGGCAGGCAACTCTTTATAATATAAAAAGTTAATGTCTGATATTTGTTATATTACTGATAGAGGTCTGCCATCTAATTCATTCTGGGTATATAATCAACCTCACAAAAGAAGGAAATCCTTCCATTTGCAGTGACAGAATAAACCTAGGGGACCTTTTTTTTAAGTTACATAAAAGCCCTGCCCGGGCCCCTTTGCCCAACTTAGTAGTCTTTAAATTTTAGCATGCACCTTTAGCGTGTGTGATTGATAAACCAAACCTCTTTGTATATCTATAGGTCATGTATTGCTTCCCAGAAAGACGTGGATCGGAATCCTCTTGCATAACCTCCCCTGGGGCACCAATGCATCACCCCCAAGAACCACAATAACCATTGAGTCTGCAGGAACCAAGAAGTGCTAGAGACTCCCATTCTCCTCTTTTACCAATTACTGGCCTCAAGTTCCCTTAAAAATCTTGGGCCAGGCTGAAACCATGGAGTTGGTTTTTGGACAAGACTTCTACCGAACTGATTAAAGCTCATATTCATTTCCAATCAAAACTCCTGTCTTGTGTATTGGCTTTTTGAGCCACCAGCAGCCAAAAATGGGGTTCTCCATAACAAAATTGTTGTAGGATTGTTGAGCCCATCCAGCAGGAAAGAATTCTTGAGATTTTTTTTTTTTACAGATTATTCAAGTTGCAGGGAGACCGGACTCCTGGGCAGAAAGAGTTGCACCTTGGCTACATGAAGCTTGTGGTTATATGCTTAGTGTTCAAGGAGGAGGGGACATGCAGGGAGTATTAGATCACAAATGTTTCTCCAATTTTCTACTTATAAAACTACTTTTTGGGATGCCTGGGTGGCTCGGTCGGTTAAGCATCTGCCTCCAGCTCAGGTCATGATCCCAGGGTCCTGGGATCGAGCACTGCATCGGGCTCAGCAGGGAGTCAGCTTCTCCCTCTGCCTTCAGCTCCCCCTGCTTGTGCTCTCTCTCTCTGACAAATAAACTCTTTTAAAAAAAACACTACTTTTGCAAAATTACTCTGGTGCTTATCATTCAGTTCGATATTAACTACGCAGTCATGAGACCCTTTAAGAATGTACCAACCAGCACATATTCGATCCTTATCAAAATTATGCAGGCTATAGGTCAACCTTCTGGGTTAAAGGTGAACATTTTTCTGTTTCTTCCCTCATCACCTTATCCCTGACCAATTATCGGTTCTTAAATCATCAAGGTTGTTGAAGGGTGAAGGGCTCAAATTCTGTAACTTCTTCAAGATGACAGGGGTTGTAGAGATGTCCCTGTCCATGCATTGAAATTGGTCTCTATCTGTCCCTACGTGTAGCTATTACAGAAGGCCATTGTTGTAGGGTCCAGAAGGGACACTGCGGTGAATTTGTTTTACATAGTCAGTATGATCTGTAGGCTGGGTAAAGGAGTCAGAAACTGCTTGCATGTATCTCAACAATAGGAGAGAACAAAGCAAAAGAGAAAACACTTAGAATATTATTATAATGAGCAATGAGAAGACTCTTTAGGGTGACCATGGTCTACCTCTCCACGAGGAATTTAATCAATTCTTAAGTGAAGAGAGACAGAGAGAGAGAGAAATCAAGAAACAGACTCTTAATGATAAAAAACAAACCAATGGTTACCAGAGGGAAGGTGGGTGGGGAGAAGGGTTAAATAGGTTTTGGTAATGAAGGACTGCACTTGTTGTGATAACCACCTGATAATGTATGGAATTGTTTAACCATTATATTGTATAGCTGAAACTAATATAACACTTTTTGTTAACTGGAATTAAAATCTTAAAAAGTAAAAAAAAAAAGTGGTGGCAATCAATCAAAATACTGATGTATCTTTACAGTAGCAATAGACAGATGTACAGAATATTAATTGCTGTGGTTGAAATGAAGAAAACTTCCCAGATATCAGTAGAGGATAGCTAACTCTTCCCTAACAGGGCATATGATTGTACATCGACATTTCTTAACAATTACTTGAGGCCTGAAAATTATTGAAATTATGACTCCTAGGTCATTATATCAGAACAAGAATGTTTCTTGAATGATTGTAATCTGTAATTTCAACAAGGAACATACAGGGGATTTGAAATGCATAACTTAGTCTATGTGTGATCCTAAGATATTTTAATAATAGAACATATTGGTTTTTAATGTGTTAACACTGACAGGTAATGGATAGATGTATTATCCTGCCACCAATATTAACCTACCTCACCTTATTTAAGAATGTAGACAACAGATGGTATCTACCACGCATTTGATAATGGTGATATAATATAACTAGTAATCCACTTTCTCAGTGGTCTCAGACTTTAAATAATGTGTGGTTATATTTCCAACAGTTTATCTATTGCATCGTTATCTCCTCCTTTTAACTCCTGGGACATGATCATCATGGATGATCAACATGGATATATTATAGATTATATAGGGGGACTGTAGGTAAACTTCTCCATAATGGTGCTACTTGGCAGCCGTTTTGTGTAGCCAAGTTGGTTTGCAGGGGACTTGAACTGACACCAGCCCCTCTCACTAGTGCATTCTCTAAACAACACCCTGCAGAGGCACACATTAATATAACTTCTGATAGGAGCACCTGGGTGGCTTAGTCGTTAAGCATCTACCTTCAGCTCAGGTCATGATCCCAGGGTCCTGGGATCGAGGCCCGCATCGAGCTCCCTGCTCATGGGGAGCCTACTTCTCCCTCTCCCACTCCCCCTGCTTGTATTCCCTCTCTCACTGTCTCTCTGTCAAATAAATAAATAAATACTTTTTTTTTAAATGTAACTTCTGATCGGACACCTCAACCACTGCCCTTTTGAACAACCACCTCCCCTGGCATCCTAGACATTCCCCTTGTGTACCCTATAGAGAAGATACCCACAGAGTTTACCTAAATCTGTTTAAGTTTCAGTGGCTCAATCTGGACTTACCCAAGAACTCCTGAGCACTCCACCCATGGAACTTAATAAAGGATTGAGCCCCATGTCATAATGGAGGGGTTCCTTTGATGTTTAAATGAAGTGAATATACACACATGGCAGTACCTGGGGTGTAAGAGATACCCCTTGAGTAGGAGGAAAATAT